TGGTTTCGATATTGCGCAGAGCCCTTCGCTTAGCCTCAAGATTGTCATTTTTCTTCTGAATAAGGTCACGCTTGCCCCGCAGCTCCTGCCGCAGTGGGCCACTGCTATTCTGTACCTGGTGCCTTTGCTGCTCTAGCTTTTGCAACTCGCCCACAGCTCTTGTGATGAGCTGGTCCAGATGTTCAAGTTCCTTTCGAATTTCATTACCCCGGGTCTTCTTGCTTTCGACTTCATCTCTCCACTTGGCCAGATTTTTAACTGCATCGAGACGGGATTGGCGCGAATCATGGAAACCACCAGTAAGGGCACCCCTCTTATCTGAACGGTCACCCTCGGGGGTGATAGCGTTCACACCGTGGCTTCGGGCATACTGCGCGGCAACCTGTAAATTCGGACAGATGATAGTTTTACCGAATACATGAACAAATGCTTTCTCGTATGCCGGATCGTACTGGAGCTTCTCAATCATTGGTATCGTGTCGCTAGCTCTGGGCATGTTGGTAGGCCTTGACCTTAGCCGGTTCAGGGGCATGAACGTGACTCTTCCTGCCTTTTCTTGCTGCAGGATCTCTAACACCTTGGTGGCAGTCTCGTCCGAGTCGACCACATAGTGGAACAGACTCTGACCTGCCGTAACCTCGACGGCTGTTCGGTACCGGTCGTTGACATCAAAGAGTTCTGCAAGTGTGCCGTAAACCCCTTCAAGGTTGTATTGGCGCTTGATTCTGCGAACGGCCGCAATGCCACGGCTAGTGTTGTGATCCATCATCTGAGATAGAGAGCGATCTGCGCGGTCTACTTCATTTGTAGCGTTCACAAGAATCGAATCCAACTTTGCTTCCTCTCTCCACAATTCCCTGAAGAATTATTAGCGGACTGCCAAGGTGGGAAAGAAAAGAAGAAAAAGGAAAAACTTACTTTCGTTGGTCCATAAGGCGATCTCTCTCATCCTTCGCCGCTTGGACTTGTTGCTCCACAGACTGAATGGTGTCTCCTCGACCATCGATCTGCTTCCGCAAAAGTTCTGTTTCCGGTTCTAGGAGAGCAATCTCGTTTTCGAGCTCTTTGATGTCCTCCTGTGTCTGTGCCATCACCCCTTGCACGGTGGATATGGACGTGTAGTTGTCCTTAATCGCGGCCTGCAGCCACTTATCCCGTTCGGACTTGTTCCTAAAGCGGGAATTCCGACTCTGTTTGGCATACAATCTCTGACGGGAAGTCTCTGCCTCGGTCAGCTGTGCCTTGACGGCATCCTCCTGGTCTTTTGCGGAATTGAAACTCGGAATGAGTTGCTGGAGTTCCGCCTCGCGCTCTTGTATAGCAGCCTGAACAGACTTTAATTCTTCATCATGGCGGGATTTCTGGGCTTGAGCAGTTGCTTGATTATCGGTAAGTGATTTAGCCTGCAGCTCAACCTGCGCAAGTGATTTGGAGGCTTCACGGCGTTCGTCTTCTAACTGCGCCTTGTCTACCTTGAGAAACTCGATTTGTTGCTTGCACTCGGCGATTTCGGCATCGATCTGGGCCATTTCCTTCTCGCCTTGGATGAAACGGTCACGGTTCAGGTCGGTGTCCTCAACACCAGTCTGCCTTTGCTCTTCAAGATTGTCAAGATAACTGGCGATCTCTTGTTGTTCGCGGGAGTAAATAGTGTACTCTAAACAGCGCCTCTCTTTATCTTTTTCTTGGAAGTTCCTCAGCTCGTCCTTCTCCTCCTCCAGCTCTGAGAGACGCTCGTTGATGAAATCCAGGAGTTCATCAATCTTGGTTCGCTTATTGTTTGTTTCGTGCATGATCTTAAGAGACTCTGCACGGCGCGCTTCGTAGACCTGTGTTCCGGCCACTTCCTTCAGCAAGTTCAGTCGCTCTGAGTCTTTCATATTGGTCAAGGCCGTTACTCGACCCTGGGGGACAATATAGTAGGGGTTCGACCGCGAGAAACCAGCTGACTCGAGCAGATTCATGACATCGTTCTTGGTGGCGTTCTTACGATCCAGCGTATATTCATCTTTCTTCATGCCAATAGTACGACGGAGTACAACTTCGGGTTTACCAGTAGGGAACCGATCATCGGAGTTATCGAAGATAATCTCAACGTATGCCGACATCACAGCGGAACCCGAACCTTCCTGTTCAGCATAAGTATATCGTAATCGGACGGAGTCTTCAGGATACGCACGTGTAGAAGAGCCTGTCGCTCCTCTCGGCCCATGTGAGTGTAGGCATCACCGAGAACGAATCGAATGGCTGCGAAGAAGTTACTCTTGCCAGAGCCATTGCGACCAACGATGACATTGTGTTTTGGAGAAAATGGCTCAATGACCGTTTGATCCTTGTAGCTGTTACGCGGAAATAATGAACGGTTAGTCTAGATGTCCGAGGAGCCACCGCGGTCACTTGAGTTATCGCGCGACTTACCTCTTAAAGCCCTGGATAATGATTTGCTTGACGTACATGTTGACAAGGCGCGCGCGACACGGGAAGTTATGACAGGCACAACAACCAGATCATCACGCGATGGACGGTGAAAATCAGGAGCCGATGCCCTGACGGCGAGTAGCAAGGGCGGACTACAGTGGGTGTAGGAGTCCGGGGCGCTGGAGCACAGAGTTGACAGTTGCTTGATTCCTTGCGACGGCACGCGTGGCCGATCGCTTTGCCTTCTTTTCCCTACACGCGTGCGGCCCGCGGGGTTCTGCCGGGCGGTGAGCGCACAAGGTCCACACTTAATCGAATATATCAGGGACTTTTTTTTTCTTTACCGATTTTGACGCCCACGATCGAGTCGATTTGCCACCTTTCTTCTCGAAATTGGAAGCTCGTCATGGCGTCGACGGATCCAAATACCCAGGCTCCTGGTCTGGCTGATGGCTTATCACCTTCGCACACTTACATCCCGAATCAAGGATATATCAATGAAGATGGCACTACCCCCACTATAGCGGGGCAGGATCCTGCGCTGCAGGAGGACGAGGACGAGGAGGATGAGGAATACTACGATGATATCTTCGAAGAAGATGGCCTCGAGGCAGAGAACATTACCTCGTCGAATCCCGCTGATCTCACGAAGGCCTATAACCGCCAGCGCAAAACGAACGAACTCGCCGCCGACCCCAATGTTCCCAAGTGGACTTACCCGAAGACCAATACGCAAAAGCCTAGCATCAACACCCGTGCGTCAGTTGATGACCAAATCAAGTCATTGACTCGCCATGCCACGAAGCTTAAGCTTGATGATGTGCAATCCGGATTGGCGGCTCGTGGTGACCGCGGGAATGACCGAGCCGATAGAGCAACTTCGGAGCAGGTGTTGGATCCCCGTACACGAATGCTTCTGCTGCAGATGATCAACCGCAACATCGTTTCCGAGATTCACGGATGTCTATCAACGGGTAAAGAAGCCAACGTATACTACTCTATGTTGTTCCCTGATGAGGAGGATGCCAGTCCCATACACCGGGCGATCAAAGTCTACAAAACCAGCATTCTGGTCTTCAAGGACAGAGATAAGTACGTCACTGGCGAGTTCAGATTCAGACAAGGTTACAGTAAGAGCAACAACCGGGCGATGGTGAAACTATGGGCCGAAAAGGAAATGCGCAACCTCCGAAGAATCTATGCGGCCGGAATTCCTTGCCCTGAGCCAGTCTACCTGCGACTTCATGTCCTCGTCATGGCATTCCTCGGTAACTCCAAGGGAATTGCCTCGCCTCGTCTGAAGGACGTCGAATTTGATATCCCCAACCCCGAGACCCGCTGGCGTGAGCTCTACATTGATCTCCTTGGCTACATGCGCGTCATGTACCAGACATGCCGCCTGGTTCACGCAGATCTGAGTGAGTACAACATGCTTTACCACAAGAAAAAGCTCCACATCATCGATGTCAGTCAGAGTGTCGAGCATGATCACCCTCGGAGTTTGGAATTCCTGCGCATGGATATCAAGAACATCAGCGACTTTTTCCGTCGTAAATCCGTCGACGTCTTGCCTGAGCGGATGGTTTTCGAGTATATTATTTCAGCCGAAGGCCCGGCCACTGTGGACCAGAGCGAAGAGATGCAAGAAGCCATTGAAAAGCTTTTTGTGGCCCGAGCCGAGATACCGGACGAGGAACTAGACACTGCCGTCTTCCGTCAACAGTATATCCCCCAGACTCTAGAGCAGGTCTATGATATCGAGCGTGATGCCGAGAAAGTCCATGCGGGCGAAGGTGAAGACCTCGTGTACCGGGATCTTCTCGCCAGTGGTAAGCCCACTGCGCAACCCGACGACGCGGAGAGTGATGCCGGCTCCGATGTGAGCGGCGGAGTCTCCGTAGAAGGTTCTGGGTCGGACGAAGAGGATAACGAAGAAAAGGACCCCTTCGATAAGGGAGTTCCGCGCGGAAAGCGCTTCGTGGACAAAGACACCAAGCGCGATCACAAGCAGAAGGTGAAGGAAGAGAAACGTGAAAAACGTGCGAACAAGATGCCAAAGCACATGAAGAAACGTCTTGTGTCTACTTCTTCACGAAAGAAGAAATAAACATGTATTCGCTTCGTTACTTTCTATCTGGGTTCAACAAAAGTTTCAGCATTATTACGGGCTTAGGACGGGGTTTTATTGCGCACGATCTCATGAGATTTATGACCGAATTTTTTGATGGATAGAGATAATGTTTCGACGCATATATAGGAGCCATCATACAAGCATATAGATTTGCAAAGAGAATAAAAAAAAAGAATTAAAGCGTTCCATGATCATATCAGAGCTCTCTTTGAACCTCATATCGACCACCCAATCACCACATAGCCGTACCAACCGACGCTTACATCGCGAGCGTGGAGTATGCGTCCGTGGTGGCTGGCTATGGAGTGAAGGGGTTGGCGTGTTTATCAGACCAGGACTAAGCCTGCTTTTGGAATTCATCATTCAGATCATGTAGAGGCATCAGAACACCCACTCAGAACAATAACGGTGCCTTCGAGCCCAAAATGGTCGGTGAGACGCAGAACTTTGTCTGGGCAATTTGAAAAGGTCGCATCTCAAACCTAAGGCTGCAACAAGGAAAGGAATTGGTAGCTATCTAAGCATGGCGCAACTGGTGATTAGGGAAGATGTCGCATTCGGGCATTGAATCGAGCGATAGCATCCTCAACAAGAGCCTTTGGGAGTTCCGGAATGATTTCACCGTGTTCCTCACCATCCCCGGAGGAAACAGCCCGGACTTCTTCTTTGGGCTCCACTGCTGGGGCTTCTTGGTCAGGGGGCTCCGCAGCTATGCCTTTCAGGTTACCCCCCGATATACGACGGAACTCAATCCGCATTGGCTCTCGGCCAATTCCAGGCCAGATATCCGACGGGAGGTAGTCCCCTTGCTCTACGCGGAATGTCTCGCGGGCATTCACGTCTTCCTCATACAACTGATCAAGCTTTTGTTTGGCGTCGCGGAGAACTTTCTCCACCCGGTGCCGCACTTGCCGTCGGCGCGCTACCTCGAGGATAAGCCCGTCGTACGCCTCCAGGAAGCCGTCATATAGTGTGTTGAGGTCCGACAGATCGGCCAAGCCACTCTGTATTTGCTCATACTCCTCGTGCCAGACACGAGTAAAGCTGTGCGCCTGGGCTATATAACCCGATAACCGGGTAGAGGCGAGTGTTGACAGGTGTTTGAAGACATTTGTAGTCGCTTGGTATACAGACAGGACACTATCCCGCTGGGCTAATACATTTTCCAACACCGTCTCCATCTCGCCAATCCGGTCTTGAATCTCCATTACCACATCCTCCGCCTCGGCCGCATCCTTGATTAGCACGCTTACCATTTCTTGATATTCCGAGTCACTTAGTGGGTCAAGTGGGGCATTCAAGTTGGCATTGATGCCTTCCTCGATATTGGGACCAACGCGGCCGTTGACATGCACCGTAGCGGGCACGTCACCGGTAATGGATCGGGCAGCTGCTCCCCCACCCTCGGTGTGCTTGACCGCTGTCACACAGAGGTCAAAGTGGCGGACTAACGACTCAAGCAGGTTAGCCATTTCTTGGGCATGCATCTCAAGGGAATGCAGCATGGATGGAATTGACGAGAGAGACGGCAAGCTAGCGTTGGACGTCGATGGTGATGACGAAGAGGCGGACGTTCGGGACGACGCGAGCTGAGTTGCTGCCCGGTAATTGCCGAGTGCTTCTTTGATAGATTGCAACTCATCATCAAAAGCGCGATTAGACGATTCTAGGTCCGCCTGAGCGGCATTGGTCCGATCAATTGCGCCTTTGAGGGTTGTATGTAGCTCTTCTACCCCACGCTCATCCACAAAGTCATGTAAGCTTTTGGATTCTTCACCTTCTGGGCGGAATGACGCGTGGACAATGGTTTCTCGCAATAAGTCCAACGTCTTTCTCAGTCTCGCGTCCGCAACATCAAGGCTCTTTAGCACGGTAGCGAACTCTGACCGGCCGCGCAGGGAGACCTCCTGAACCTCGGTACGGACATTATACAGAAGGCGTAGCTGATTATTCAGCCCCCGGCGAAGGAAGCCCGTTCGCGCCGAGACTACAACACTCTCTTCCAATGCGGAGCGAGCGGCCGTGACGATCTCATTAGCACGCCAGACATGATTGATGGATGACAAGGAGCGTTTCGCCGCAACCAAATGCGAGATGAGTGTCTCTAGCTGAGGCATTGAGTTCTGTTGTCCCGGAGAGGGATTCGGATTAGGAGAAGCATTATTGGATATCGCGGATGACTCTGAGTCTGACATGGTCGAGGACGTTCCAGATCAATCCGCTAAGCAAACAAAAAACAGGCCGACAATTGGAAAATGCCGCAAGTGATTTGCATAAGATAATTCACCGATGAGCTTGAACGTCCAATGAATGGTCTGCACAACACTGCGAGCGACCGAGCGACCGATCCGGATTAGAGGAATACAGAGGAACAGGGAATCTGGCGTGAGAAGTGCGTAGACTTAGGCCATCATCACTCCATTGGAGAGGCCAAACAACGTTTATCCCTTCCTAAACAACCAGTGGTTTCGACTATCAATTTCACGACTAACAGGGACTAGTGTGATTTGAACTCTTAGCGGTCAGACGTCCAAATCGAAATTGAGTCACAAAAGGCCTTCGTTATGGAAGGACTGTTTGACCTTGCCGCGTTCTGAAGCCGAGAGATGATGTGATGTTTCAAGGATACCACGTTTCTAGTAATCTCGCCACGAAACGAGGGTAGTAAAAATGAGGTGATGAGGCTGTTTCCGGTACGAACTTAAACGATCATCACAAGAGGCAAAAAATTTAGTATTAAAAAATTAGCAAATAGGCAGATCTGGGTGAGCAATGGTTGGTCAGAAGCACGACGGCCCAATGGTGGAACTAAGTGTGTTCTGTAGTATGAATAGGAGTACGTCGTTGCTGGCACCCAACCCACTGGGGATTTTAGCGCCAAGCAATGGATCCAAGAATAGCGCAATACAGAGTCAGAGTATTAGCTTCTGAAAATCCTGGGGGATCCGCAATAAGGGCCGACAATGGCGACGAATTGTGCAACACAGAAGCAGTTCGTCGTCTTCTTTGGCGGGTCGAGATGTTGTGCTGATGCGACTAAGAGCGTCTATGGCGCAATCGGCATCACGTGAGGACTACCGCAAGGGGACTAGCGCAGCACGATACGCTGGTTTGCGCTTGCGTGATCGAAACAGGGCCAACAAGGTAGTTGATGTACAAGTACAATGCATCTTCGTCTTCTTTTTCACCCCTGGTATCTTTTCTCTCGGGCGCATCCTTCTGCACGTGTTTCAAATTTGGCTGGACCACTAGATACAGGAAGAAGAAGACCCTACTCCTCTCTTTCATCCTCTCTCTCTTCTCTGTCGCTTTCGCTTTCTCGATCCCTCTCCCCGCCTATCAACGACTAAATCTCCTTATCTTGCGACCCATTAACTCCCGACGGTCGCCACAGGCACTTCCCTATCCGCGCACGAACAGGTACCGCAGTATTGACTTTGGACTTCAACAAACCTTGACGAAAGGTGGTCGCTGGCGTGACATTCGTCGTCGTCTCGATTTTTCTCAAGGTTCCGTTCTGCTGTTCATTGCCTTCTCGGGACGACTGCTACCACGGTAGCGCGCGGGCGGTAGGAACCTCGTTCCAGTCACACGATGCAGTCCGACGGCCGATCAGTGCGTGAAGGTAGCGACTCTTCGCAGACTTTCTTGATGAAAATGGCCCAGCCGACGCGAGAACTTACGCATCCTTCGCACGAACAACTACAACTACAGCAACAACAACATTCTTTCCAGTCCCTCTTTGGCGGCGCATCGGACACCGCTGAGGAGATTGAAACCGAGACCGAATCTAACCATCGAAAGCCCCACAGTTTCGGTGCCGCTGCGACGACTACCGCCAAGCTTGCAAACGAGAATGTTGCACCATTTCTCGTCAAACACATCCCCGAACAATACGGTCCCTTGGGGTCGCGAAGAACCGACAAGTTGGAGGATTTGAGCAGCCCGAATTCAAAATTTTGCTATCGCCACCGGCCAGACCTTAAATGCAGACGACAGGCAGACGAACCGTCCATGGATAAACTACAGAGGGTAGGGCTTCCTAGGGCTTTGTCGTGTTTCTCTTAGCTAATGGGTTTTAGGAATTGGAAACGCTGCCTCCCAGGGACCAACAGGGCATTGCCCATGTATGGTCTTTGTTTTCGGCCGCTCCGGCCAAGCACCGCAAATTGATCCTTCAGGGGATCATGGCTCAGTGTTGTTTCCCGCAACTTTCGTTCGTGTCCGCTACCGTGCGAGACCTCATTCGAATCGACTTCCTGACCGCTCTTCCACCGGAGATCTCGTTCAAAATTTTGTGCTACCTCGACACCACCTCGCTGTGCAAAGCCGCCCAGGTGTCCAGCCGCTGGCGGGCACTGGCAGATGATGATGTGGTTTGGCATCGGATGTGCGAACAACACATCCACCGCAAATGCAAGAAATGTGGCTGGGGACTTCCTCTTTTGGAACGGAAACGTCTGCGAGAGTCCAAGCGCGAAATCGAATTGCGCGCTACGAACTGGGACGTCAGCGGACCCGCGCAGAACGCAGGAGGTGCCGAATGCAGTGCATCATCACATGCGGAGGATGTGAATACGCAGAAACGGAAGGCGGATTTGAGCGATGAGGAGACAGCAATCGTGAAGCGACATTGTTCCTCGCTGGATGCTCGATCGGAGCCAGATGATGACTACTATACGACTCGGTATAGGCCGTGGAAGGAGGTCTACAAGGACCGGTTCAAAGTTGGCACGAATTGGAAATACGGACGATGCTCCACCAAGGTGTTCAAAGGCCACACAAATGGAGTGATGTGCTTGCAATTCGAGGACAACATTCTGGCGACTGGTTCATACGATGCGACCATCAAGATTTGGGATACCGAAACCGGGGAAGAGCTGCGTACCTTACGCGGACACCAATCCGGTATTCGCTGTCTCCAGTTTGACGACACCAAATTGATCAGTGGCAGTATGGACCGCAGCCTAAAGGTGTGGAATTGGCGTACAGGCGAGTGCATTTCAACCTACACGGGTCACCGTGGTGGGGTGATCGGACTGCACTTCGACGCAACGATTCTTGCATCAGCCTCCGTTGATAAGACGGTCAAGATTTGGAACTTCGAGGACAAGTCAACATTTCTCCTACGTGGACACACCGATTGGGTCAACGCTGTCCGAGTGGACACGACTTCTCGAACGGTGTTCTCGGCGTCGGATGATTGCACTGTTCGCCTTTGGGACTTGGATACTAAGGCCTGTCTCCGGACCTTCCATGGCCATGTCGGCCAAGTCCAGCAGGTGATTCCTTTGCCGCGGGAGTTCGAGTTTGAAGAACACGACGCTGAATGTGATAACGATAACATGAGCACCACATCTGGCGATACGGAATCACACTCCCTTCAGGCAACGCTCGGACTGGAGTCGAATGCCACTGAGACGTCTGTCTTTGGCCCCTCATTTGACAATGGTCGCCCAGCCCCACCGCGCTACATCGTCACGAGCGCCTTAGATTCCACCATCCGACTCTGGGAGACTACGACCGGTCGCTGCCTGCGTACATTCTTCGGTCACCTCGAGGGCGTTTGGGCGCTCGGTGCCGATACTCTCCGTATCGTGTCTGGTGCGGAAGACCGGATGGTCAAGATCTGGGATCCCAGAACCGGCAAATGCGAGCGGACCTTCACCGGTCATTCTGGCCCAGTGACCTGTATCGGTCTCGGCGACAGCCGGTTTGCGACCGGCAGTGAGGATTGCGAAGTGCGTATGTACAGTTTCCGCAGTTAAATAATCTGCTTTCTTTCTCTTCTTCTTCTTCTTCTTTTTCTCGTGGCCCGTCTCCTGTGGAGACATGACGCGCCTATGTTTTAATGTGTTGTGCTTTGGATAGAAATACCCTTCAAGTTGGCGCTAGGGTCAGGGATCATTTCGTGATATCATTATATAGGGCTCTATTTAGCATTGGATGGTGTCTGGCGTTGTTGGTTTGCCTGAGTGACACAGGTTGTTCGGAAAATGGTTCCAGAAAATTATGGCCATCAAGATAGCAATAAATAATTTTATGTTGATTCATTCTGTTATACTTAACTACTTGTATGGTTTCTTGCATGCCTGCCCCGTTAAGTAAAGTCTAGGGGGCATGACCATATGCCTATATATTGAAGAACCACACTGACCTGTGCACGGCAGTCAGTGGTAGGTTAAAGGAAACCGTAGTATTTTGATATTGCTAGGAAGATCAACAATCTCCGAGTTTACTTGACCCATCCTCCTATCTCCATTATCAACTTGTCCATTTTCTGTTCCAAATCCGGGACACAAGCTATGCAGCAGCTTCCATGATCTGCATAATGTTAGCAGCAACCCTGGATTTTTATAGCATTAAACTGGCACTCACTGTACTGGTGCATTCGCTCTTGATGGGCTCAAAGTCACCACATTGACACATGCCCTCCTTTAATAGTGGCTGCACGCAATCCACCACCCCTTTGAATTTGTCTTCCATGCACTGATCCTTCAATGCCTTTGCTTTTCCCAGGTCCAAACACCCTTTACTATCCGTGACCTGGGCTTTCTCCATCAAGCACTTTGCCGGACATGGAGCGCCCATGCACGACATTGCAGCTTGGATGTTGACAGGACATCCTCCATTTTGAGATTCTGCCACGGCCACTGCCACTAATCCGGCGAGAATAGAAACGTATCCGAATCTCATGGTGGTATTGATTGATTATTAGGGGGTGGGAATGTACCAGGCTTTGAGATGAAATTCAAAATAAGTTTTCCTAAAGTGAATGCAATATAGACAATAGGAATGAGTATATGCGTAATGAGTACAAGAGAAGAGGATGCTCAGATTTCTCCTTTTATATTACTTTTCCCTATGGTGGATAAAAGTTATTGAGCTTGATTGGGTATGGTATCAGAATGGAAAGACTGGTCATCTGGATATCTGATATATCTTGTTAGGTATTCCTACCTGCATGCTTTGGTTTCAATAGTGTTCGTCAGCTCTGTCGATCCTCGTTCATTCCTCAGGATAGAGGTTCTGTCTACTCCGTATTTCAGCTACGATTTCAGCCTCACCGCACTTCAATATACTAAATCAATACAAGTCATCCCTTGCATTTAGGTCACACATTACACAGATACATAATATAACAGTGCATGATCAGCCCCCTGAGAAGTCAATCATGCACCCATCTTTGATCGGTGACGTCTTAGGATGAGTGAAGAAGAATATGTGCTGAAGAAGAAAGTAGTGGAGTACACCTCTCGGGGAGTCAACAGAGACATATCACTCCTTTTTCTTCTTCTTTTCTTGCTTTTCTCTTTGGCATCATCGACCCCTGATAATAGCCTAAAATAGTCTAAGACCAATCGACTGAGCTAGTAATTTTTATAGAACTATCCAGAACAACTTCCATAATAATTCCCCCCCCCTACATATTGGAATTACTCCTACTTTCCTTCCCTTACTTTTATCCCAAAACAGACAATGCAGGCAATACCATAATAAGAAATAAGAATGCAAGATCCCACCCAAGAAGAAACACACCCTCTAAACCCACTCCAAGAAAGAGAGTCATAATCAACACCCGAAAACGAATATTACTACCACCCCAACGACAACGACAACGACAATGACGAAGAACAGCCTCCGATTCCCTACTCCTACCCCAAAAGAAAACCCCAGTTATGTTCCCGAAACTGGAAGTGGACGACATACGCACTATCAATTCTAGCACTGCTACAATTCCTCCATATAATAATCTCAATTCATGCCCAGCGCGACAGCAGCGGCAGCGGTAGAGATACGTTATGAATCCGGGGTTTATAACCGAGTTAGACGATGCGAAACCCTGGATCAGATTGAGTCAGAGACGGTTTACAGGGGCACTTAAAGTGGGAGATGGTGGGGGGTTTTTTTATCGAGTAGTAAGACCCTGATGATCCTGCTCCTGTCTATATTCCGGGAGATAGTACTGTGAGAGCAGAGGAGGTGGATCAGAACTGGAATGATCTGGTCGGTGGTCGATCCTTTTCTCTGACGGAGTCGGAGGTTAGGAGGTTGGATAACAACAATAATCATAATACTAATAATAGCGAAGCCGATCTGGAATTATTATTGGATCCGGAGATTCCTAGCTATGGTGGGGTTGATATATGTTGCATTCTCTACACTGTTTGGACTCGCTTCGACGGCACCTTTCTCCCAGGTTTGAGGATAATACTTCGTTCCCCCCGAAACTTATGCGGTTGCATCTTGGTATTCACCGCTAATTTGTTTTCTGTTAACTTGATCTGGATAGATGCTAATCCACTTATACTTCTAGATCACTGTGTGGATCACTTACGCCAGGCGATTATGTGTGCTGGGGACTTGACACCGGTTACTGTAAGGCCAATTGTAGGGAATAATGAAAGCGGAACCTTGCTTTTGCTTTTGGGTGAAACTGAACAGTTGCATACATGTAGGGATTTCTCTGCAATCCAAGAGTGGATTAAGAAAAAGAGGGGAGATGGGCTCCTTTGGTTAAAGAGAGAAGTGCCTGTGTTCGTCTCTCATTAACACATCAAAGTTGTCTGACTACGACCAAATATTCGCTGATCACGTGATTCCTCTTAAGCACTGATGAATTGAGATCTAGAGTCTATTTAATACAAGCCTACGAATGAATACTTAGGCACCCTCGCTATTTATATTTCCCGAGCTGAACTCCTGAATAACGCCAACGCCTCAAGAAATATTAGTCATATCTCCCTTTTCCCTCTGGCCCCCGTATTGTGTATTAATGGGTCTCTTTCGGGAATATTGTCTATACAACAAGAGATCAATTCTTCAAACCATTGGGCACCGTCGCCGGTTTCTGCCTCACTAGAGCGTTGTCGACAATCTCGGCGATGATGTCCTGGTATTCCATTCCGTTGTTTTTTGCGATCCAAGTGAACAAAGAGTGATCAGGTCGCAGTCCGAAAATTGGATTCACCTATCGCAGGTTAGGGTGTATTCTTTTGTACCTTCAAGTAAGAGACATACCTCGATGACATATGGCACGGCGCCATCTAGGCGGATATCAACCCGGCCTCCATCTTTACAACCTAGTGCTTTGTATGTGGAGAATCCGATCTCAGCTACCGCCTTGACCAGAGGATCTGCCAGGTCCGCATGGACATGGCCCATGTCATGCCCGACACCCCGGCCCGCCTTGGAGAAGCTTGTTGCGAAGTCAACTGAGAGGTCATCACTCTTTCTTCCCTCCGGATTGTACCATGTCACCTCGGAGACCCCCAGTACTCGGGCTCGATCGCCGCTCCCAAGGATGGCTACGGTGAATTCGCGGCCGTCTAGGAATTTCTCGAGGATTATTTCCTGATCTTTGAATTCGGTGCGGAGGTCCTCAACGACATCTTGAAGATCTTCCTTTCGGAGGATTTTGTTCGATGGTGATATGCCGTTTGAGGTGGATGCGGCGATTGGCTTTGCAAAGAGAGGATACGGTATCTGGTCTGCCAGGGCGGCGTAGTCGACGAGTTCGCCGGATCTGGGGACGATGGCAAATGGACTTGTTGGGATCCGATAGTGTTCTAATAGCATCTATATAATAGGAGTAGAACGATTAGTATCGGACACTCTAGGGTTTGGTATCTCATGAAGAATGCATCCTAGTACAACTCACCTTGGTTTTTCCCTTATCAATACCCGTTGCGAGCGTCGCAGCATCGGAAAAGGTAAAAGGGATCTGATAGGCTTCTAATAGGGCGGGAACCTGCGACTCACGAGCGGAGCCAAATACTCCTTCGCTGTAGTTGAAGACAAGATCCCATTGCTTATGATGCTCTGCTGAGAGATGCTTGACGAGAGTTTTGATCCCGGGAACATGGACCACGTGGTGGCCGAGACTTTCGAGAGCTGACGCTATACCGTTGATAGTCACATCGTCAGCTAGGTCGGCGCATTCACTCTTGGAAAATCCTATGGATTCATAGTAATCCTTTGGATCGTAGACAAAGGCGATGTTGAGGCCGGTGCGTCTAGTGTCTCGCATGATGTACTTTTGTGATGGTGATGGCAGAGGGAGGTAGAAATGTAGAGAGAATAGTACAGAGAGTCAATGGATTAAGGTGAACTAGATATTACGGTAGGAATCAGAGGGATGAATACTATTCACTTCACCGCAAGTGTTATGGAGGACCAGGTATGGACCGGAGACTGGAGCGGTAGGTATATAAGACATCTTGTGAATGAGAGGTCTCATCCACTCTGAATACCCTTGACTGATACTAATAGTATCCCCATGAGGTATTATTCGGGCATTTTCCACATTCCCAACAAGGAAGGAAGCCATCGACGTCATATTCCATTCATTCATCTTCAAATTGGCCCTGTGGCGTCATGATCGACCGATCAGCCAGTGAAACTGGGGCCATATTTAAGATATCAAGATTGCATCAGAATGTTAATTGTCGCGCAAGGCGAATGGAGAGATCCGTCTAGACGCTGTCTCGCCGTCGTTTGCCCCCTGTAGACACAGTCCTACCATGGATGCGAATGCGTGACGTGCGAATAGACTCGGAGGATCCAAACACGTCGCCTCAGGGAGGAAGTCTATCTTGAACTTTGTCGTTGACAATCGTAGAAGCCAAACTGTGTAGAGAAAATATTGACTCCTCAGATTGCAAGGTAAATCACTCACCAGTCGCGCGATTGATCCAGAACTATGCAAGCAGATAACTATTAATTGGTGATAAGCGAGACGAGGATTTCTAGTCCATTCTGGGGTTAGCGTGTCACTAGCCCCGAAGAGGTATGGCTTCCTCGTTAAGCACGAGATACGAAATATCGACATCATCAAACATGGACGTAGGTCAAATCATTGCCCATGCTTCACTGGGTGACAACAACACACATGTTGCACTCGCGACGTGGCTAAAGATATATAGTGAAATGGAAAACTACCTAGGTGCTTGGGGCAAACTTCCTTGCTTTCCACCTCCATATTGTCTGCAATACATTCCGCAACGACCCCCCTCGAGAAATACTACAGGCAGTCTGGAAGGACTACATTGAAAGCACGTATATACTCTATTCCCTGACTGACTCAAGTACTGCCGAGTCACCTTGTGAAATGGAATCTTCAACCTCAATGGAACGGATGAGGGCTTCGTGTTTCGCGCTTCGCGGTTGGATGCTAACCTCGAAGGGCGATAGGTGACCAACGATTCCCTCCTGATAATCTATAATAGGGTCGATCTCCCTGCCGTCTTTCATGGCCTTTCGAATCTGAAAGACTGCGAGGGATCGTGCGATCGTAAGAAAGTTATTGAAGTCAGCCAGTGGACGACCGGGGCAAATCCGGCGACCAAATCCGAAGACCAACGTGTGCGGATCACGTTCTGGTGTATGTCCGTCCGATGCCAAGAAGCGCTCGGGCCTGAATGACATGGGATCAGAGTATACGTCGGGATCGTGCGCAAATGCCCTGTCACGAAGTATGTGATTAGAATCGACGGCATCGTTGTTGAGGGAAAGCAGCTCACCAAATGTTGGGGACTATCGGGGCCCCTTTGGGGATCAGGTAGCCCTCGTAGATGTCATCTTCTGTGGCTGCGTGCATAATGCCAATTTGAACCACTGGGTTCCAGCGTAGAACCTCGTTGATGAGCGCATTGACGTAGGGTAGTTTCCCCCGATCTTCAGGCGTAGGTAGCTTTGCTCCCACAACTCGGTCGATTTCCTCCTGGGCCCTGTGCTGTGCGGCAGGAAACAGCGCCATTGCCAGAAAGAAGGATGTGATGGTAGATGCCGTCTATAGCTTCAATCAATATGACACTGTGGTGGCGCTTGTTTTTCTGCTAGCTGCACTCACCGTATCATAACCGGCTTGGTAGACTGAAGCTGCCGAGCATTTGATCTTCAACTCCTCCTCGGGGCTAAGTAGCGAGCCTTTCTGCTCAATCAGCCTGGAAACGAATGAAGGTTCATGGCTGCCCTCCTTCATCTGATGTCGGGCAAAGGCGAACGGCCAATTGGCCAATGCGTCAAATCTGCGTCGATACTCCTGGGCTTCTTTTTTGAACCTAGCCCCCGGAAACCAACTCGGCAGGTATTTCACTGACGAGGCTTGTGAGCTACCATCCAGCATACGTCGAGGAAGGTTGACTTACGGGCGGGGATACTGTCTACCAGATAACCTGTTGGCTGATTTATCTTGCCGAATGCAAATGCTGTCTTGCCCACGAGATCAACGAGCGGATCTGGATCATGAAACTCGACGGTATAACCGTACGCGACCTTCAGTATGACTCCCCCGATCCCTCTGCGGATCGCATTAGCTAGTACTTAGTAGACGTCGTGTAGCAGGACTACGTTGCCCTCACGTTTTAATATGATCGATCATTGCCTCTGGTTCCTGCAGTATCCGTAGCAGAAAGCGTCGGATCACCATATCAACCTGTGGGTAAAATGATGATAACGCGTTTTCCGAGCGCAGCTGTGAAAGTATATGTTTTCGTTGTGCACGAACAGTAGCGTGTTCATTTTGCGCAGTGACAAATATGTCCGATCCAGCGCTAAGGAAACAGGTACAAAAGTATTAGCAAGACAATTTAAATGCCCCCCTGTGTAGTTGGTATGCAGTTTAAGGGATAAAAAAAGAGGTAACTACAGCTCATGGGCCATCACCATTCTCGGTCGAGATGAGTATCGGGCTGATCGCTTTTCCAGCAGTTCCGTTGCCACATTGGCGTCGTTTAAGATGATATGAGTATGCCCTGCCGTCGTGATCGAACTAATGGGCCCTAACGGCAATCAAGATGAGGATCCCAACGCAGAACAAGAGATGGCCAGGAGTATTGTCCATACCATATAGATCCTTATGCTTCAGCCAATGTTCCCAATCTTTACCCCCGCGTGGAAGATCACTACCAACGTTGCCGATAATGGGCAGACCTTTTGGGCCCGGAGGGAGAGGGGCTCGTGGTGCCTTTGACTTCAACAGGACATACAGCCCCAGGATACCCCCTAGAACAATCAAAATGCTTAAACTGTACATCGTGATGACAGAAATTTGAGCTTATAGTACTGAGGACGAAGTTGCCATTCGGGAATTCTCCGTGGTGATCTCCAGAGAAGATGAGTCCAACACCATGCGGAGAAGTGCAGTAAGCGCCAATAACTTGGATGCATTAATAGCAATTTTTTGGGCAATGTGACCCGATGACGAGGCTCATACCTTGCGTCGGCCAGCATCACTAATACACATTGATAAGAGATTGCGTTACACCGCAGAGTTGACTGCATTAGCCCGCGCGTCAGCGGTAGATTGACTTGTATTCATTGGTTATCCACTGAGACTAGAACGTGCCCATCCAACCAGCTTTTCATCAATAGGATTTGCTATATAGACATGGCCGACTCTGACTGCCCAACTTGGTTATAGAACTGGAATAATATTGATCTGACGAAATTCTGTTCTAAGGTGGAGTAGTAGGCCATCCTGCTAGGTGGTTTGTTGAAATCACAAGACCAGTTAATCGTACGCTGGTATACGAAGGCGATAAGATGTTTCAAAAGATACGGCTGTAAAATATTGTCCAGGTAGTGTTAGGTGAGCTATGACATGTCCGACGTATCACCTTTCTGAATGAGGAGATCTTGACTTTAATGATAAAGTACCTCGTGCTGTAGATCAACATTATTTGACTAGTTAATTTAGTGTCCACCTTTTAATCTGAGTTGCTCGGGACAGCGTTGTAAATTCGGCAATGTCCTCATATCGGGTTGAGGCACAACAATGCCTATGGCATATCCTTTCTACTCCGTAGTTTTGCGGTTGCCCTTTTTTTTTT